CATAACTCAGAACTAAACGAGAAACTGAAACAGTTGCAAGTGATAAAGCAGGTTTCCGTTTTGAAGTATGCTGCGAATCAAGGTGCTGGATGGGGGGGTTAAACATTCAAAGCCGTATGTTCCACCAGTATAACAGGATGTTTGGTGATTTACATGCTACTGTTCAATGCGTATCATTCCTGTCGGTTGTGGAAGCGGAATTCACTGTTCGCTCTGATTATTACGGAAGAAGCACGGTTTAACCATACCAGCTGCTTCACGAAGAATTCTGTCACTCATTTTTTTTTTTTTTTTCAGGAGTTTGAAGAACTGACAGTTAGTTATAAATATAAGAGTGAAAAACTGGAGGACTGTGAAAAGGCACTGGAGGAGCTTGGTGGCCATCTCTATGAGTAAGCGCCATCATTTCAAATGATCAATTGCCCACGTTGTTTTACGCTGGCTTACTGCATTTAAAACGTCGTTTTGTGTTCAGGTCGAAACTCAAGGTTGTGGAATTGAAAGAGGAACTTCTGCCACTATCCGAAGCGGAATGGGAGAAAGATGCTAACGTGGCCAACTGCAAAGGATGTAATCTGCAGTTTAGCATGAGCAAGCGAAAACACCATTGCAGGTGCATGTCTAGAAGAACCATTCATTCATTTCGAATGAACTCATAGAACTATTTTAAAGCTTTCCGCCTATGTACAACCGCCTGATCTTGTACATCTAAATAGGCTTATTTCTTTCCTTCATGGCGGGCAGGAGACTGTACTGATGATTCCCGCTCCCACTCGCGTTCACTGCTGTGGCTGTGTTTACAACTAATGGATGAAAATAAGACTGCTTTCGGGATATTTCTAAATTCATTCCCTACTAGTCTTATGCTTTATTAATGCGCGTCATGGTCAGTTCGCTAGGACATGTCAGGTTGTAGCGTCTGTAACATTTATTTGTGATGATTTAAAGAACTTATTTACCATTCAGTAGTGACAGTAAATAGCCTTTTATGCAACACGCTTGTACACAGTGCGTTATTCTTATATCAGTTGCTGTAGTTACTGGAGAATAGAGAGCCAGCCTGTTATCTCTTCTTTTCAGGAATTGTGGCTCCATATTCTGCAATTCATGTACAGATGCACGAGTCAAGCTACCTTCAAATGCGAAGCCAGTACGAGTATGCTTGCACTGCTACAATCTCTTGCGTTCCCGGCACAACTCGACACTGGAAGAAAACTCCACATAATTTTCCACAAATCATACAAATTTGTAAGGGCATGGAAACGTAGCAAGTCGTTGGACTGTGGCCTCACTTGATCTCCCTGTGCCGTTCCTCCGTAATCTTTCCACGTTTTTTTTTTCTCTCTTTGGGCTTTTTGCAAGTTTTGTACATGTGACGATAGTTCCTGTTTACGCTATGCTACTAATTGGATCTGACTGTATAAATTCCTGAAGTGTCAGTGTAGTAGTGTTTTATCGGAGAATCAGCCTTGTCCTCATTTTTTCTTTAAATTGCTTTGTAA